TGGGCAATGCATTCACACAAACCTTCCACTGCAAGCGGCCCTTTTTTTCCTCTTGGTAGTCAGAGAAAGCTGAAGGAGAGACTTCTGTGGCGGCCCTTTTTTTGTACTAAAGTCAGTCCTGAAGCAAGGAAGGATGAAATAAGGGAGAAGATGAGATTATCACACTGGAAACTGTTCTTATTTGTCCTTGCAAGGAAAGTAATTGAAGAGAGAGGCGAGGATGATAGAAAATAAAATGAAGATTTTTTTTTTTGTGAAAAAATTGAGTTTAAGCAGATTCCTCATTTTTGAAGAGAGTGCAGAGAAGCATGGGAGCTGGAGAGATTAGCATACCGCTGTCTCCTAGAGAGACCTTGGGGCTGTTTGTGGTTGCCATGGTGACTTGATTGGATAATCGGCTTTTCCACAGAGGTGGGCTTTGTTTATTGTTAGGAAGCAGAAAGGGTTTTTTTTTTTTTTTTTTTTTTTTTTTTCTACCCACCCAAAGTACCTACTGAAGTCTCATGCAAGGTCTCCTAGTGGGGTAATGGCCAAAGAACAAGCACTTACCTACCACAAACTAACAGATATGTGGTCCAGGAGTGTTTGGGGAATCTACAGACATGTCCAGAAAGCGAATTTTTCTTGAGGCTGACATTGTTCCTCATCTGGGATAAAGTCCTAAAATATTTGCTTTGCCTTGTAGGATTACTTGTTGAAACATAGATGTGCACTTACACTGCGGGAAATGTTTGACTAGTTCTGCCCAGCTGGGTCAGACCACTCTTTACCAGTGTTAGTCTTCAAAACCACATCTGTTGAGCAAACACAAACCCAGTGTCTTTAACTCTCAGTACTGCCAAAATCTGTTTGTCGAAGGAACATCGAAAAGCCTCAAGAGGAGAATATTGTCGAAACTTGAATTTAGAGGAGGAGGAGGACTAGAAATCAACACATTGCTTGAATGTAATCTGTTTACGATTTATACGCAGATTCTTGCTCCTAAACATTTCAATACAAGAGAATGCTGTCAGAAATAGATTTCTCATAACAATGAATGTATTTGTTGTTTGACATGTATTTAATTGCTGGCAAGCAGCTTTCTCTTGAACCTCGTGGCATGGGGGAAGGCAGCTCCCCTCCCCTTTATAATATATACTATGTGAAAAGGAAAAACTAAATTGAGGACAATATTTCACACTTTGCTTGATGCCGTTGTGTTTTCTTATGTATGCATCTTGAAATTTTTATTCCAACTCAGTGATTGTATGAGAAAAATTGTATATTTAACAGAAAATAAAATTTGGGAAATTAGAGTGTTTGTTTTGGTAAGTTGTACACATTAGTTTTGAAGAAAAAGCTTATTTAAAAGTGTTAAATTAAAAGCACATTTTGATGACATTTGATATACACAAAGACAAAACTTACTTCATGTGGTGTAGCATTACTGTCAAAACACTGCAAAGGTAAATCAACAGCTCAAAATGCCAAATACGTCTCAAGACCAGGACTATTCCTTAGAAATTCAATGTAATGCATTACAAGTACGGGTGGGACTTTCACGCGTTAATTACGATTAATTCATTACAACAACAAAAAAAACGCATTACAAAAATTTGCGCTATCCAGGACTGCTTGCTCCGGCAGTTTCTGTGCTCGCTACAACATGCTTTGCATTCAGGTGGTACCGTAAACTTGATGTGCTTCGGTGGGATGCAAATTCTTTCTGCGCAAGTTGCACAAAACCACACTATGGTCAAGGTTTCCATCAGGCAGTTTTTTAAAATGAAACTTACCCTCCATCAGTCCAAGCAATGCACTCTCATCGGATTCCTCCATGTTTGTTGTTATTAGCGTAGCACTGACGCAGCTTGTGCATCAGTGTGATCGGTGGACCATGAAAGTGGGCCCCGACAAACGTTTCGTGTTCCCTGGATGCAAACTGCAATTAAATGCGTTAATTTTTTTAACGCGCTATTTTTGTTGTAATTAATTCATCGGAATTAGCGCTTTAAAGTATATTAGGGGTGGGACTTTAACACGTCATTTTCGTGTTAATTAACGCATTAAAGTCCCACCCCTAATTACAAGTTTTTGTCTGATGTTAGGATCTGTGTTCTTTAAGGGGCCAATATCAAGTTATTATACCTTTTTGTAATCAGTGTTTTCCAGTGCGTCTTCCCTGTCGTGCATCTATGACTGAGACTAACTATTTTTACTCACTTTTTACTTGCTTAATCTTCCTGAACCACCATTTTGAAGCCTCAAGTTTGGAATTTGGCCGTTGCTATCTTTCCCCTTTCAAACCAGATGAAACAAGTGAGAGGTGGATCTGACTGAGAACCTGCGAACAATGCGCTCGCCGATACGATAGTGATCTGTCATTCACAAGGTAGCTATACTCCGCTTTAACATCTATTGTACTCTACATGGAACATAATTTATAAAATTAGCATCAGGCTGTATAGAGGAGTTTTGAAACTAGCAACAGAGACCATAAACTAATTTGCAAAATGTTTACTGAGCTTACAAATCAAGAGAGAAGCGCGGTCACTTTCTCACTGACTTCTATATAATTTGACTTCTTTTTTGCAACCAAAGAAGTCGCCCCCTACTGGCTGTTAGAAAGAAAGCAGGTTTAAAGCACTTGTGAAATGGCTTTGCTTTTTGTCAGACCTGGACACAACAACATCTTTTAAATTTACAGTTTCCAATGATATGACTCAAAGGGTTGCATTTTTGACGGACTGGTTAATTAACTAGATGTTTCCTACGCTATAGGTACTAAAGTAGGGATTTTATCAAAATTACAAAGGAAAAATCGACATCCTCACAGTCCGTGCTGCAGGTGAGACTTTAAATGGAGGCACAGATTAGCAGATGTTTTCAAGTGGGCGCGAACACGTGCATCATTTACCCGCCCTCATCTCTCGTGAAAACATCTCTGGCTACGCATGTGCGAATGAAACACAAGCTCACACGCTCGCCCACGTAGTTCATGTACAATGTACTCCTCACAGTGAGCAATAGCTGAACAGGTTCACCACACACTCACTGAGGCGCAGCACACATCTGGAGGGGAAATAAATTATGAAAAGGCATGTTGCAATATTACCAGTGTGTCATCACAGAGCGGAAGGGTTACACAAAGAATTGATGCACACTGCCCTCAGGTGGACAGTTGTATGTGGCTGTGAACAGGTGAAAATTACCTCACAAATTGTTTGATCCTAAATTGACAACAAAGTGCTATAAAGCCATTAGAGACACAACACAACAACCTAACATAGGCTGCTTCTTTCTGATTCTGTGCACTGTATTACTGCATCAGGATTGATTGTAAAATTTAAAGTCAGGCAAACCTATAGTTTAAATTGGTTTTAGAAACATTTACAGTGTAGATTTTTCACCTGTAATTCTAAATTTTGCACAAGAACATGACTCAAAAGTGTTTAACTGCTCAAAACAGTAGATTTGCAAATGCTGTGCACAAAAGGCATATTTTTGTAACGACATGCATTCAGTTATTTTTATTATCTTCATAGGAGTTTTGTGTCTATAGTAGCTATCAAACAAATTCTACAATAGCACAGTGCTCTGTGGTGTTAAATAGCATCCAACATGGTCATAGAAGTCAAAAGTAATGGTATAATATCACAAGTGTAACAGATAACAGGTACGCTGGAAAGAAGAGCATATCCGCCCTGTAACCTGCTACATGGTCGTTGTGTCCTTTGGTAAGACACTTCACCCTCCTTGCCTGGTGTGAATGTATGAGGTGGTGGTCGGAGGGGCCATAGGCGCAGAATGACAGCCACACAACTGTCAATCTGCCCCAGGGTAGATGTGGCTACAGTTGCACTTTACCACCACCGGAATTAATGTGTGTGAATGAATAATTGACAGTGAAAAGCGAGTGTCTAGAAAAGCGCTATATAAATCTGATCAATTATTATTATTATTATTATTATTATTATATCTGAGCACTGGCTAGTGCCCTTTAACTTTACCATATTTATTGAGTTGTTTTTTTTAATGCTAATAGCTTAAAAGTGAATATTTTATATTTTAGGAGCTTTTTTAACTAACATTTATTTTTAATAGTTTCAAAGGTACAAATTTCGCTTCCAAAATCATGCACAACAAACTCAAGAAGTTAAATAGATTTCAGCCATCATTCATTTTATTATTGACACGTTATGTTTTTTTCCTACTTGCTTTGCTCAGTACACACAGGAAAACACCAGCTATTTTTCAAAGCTGCCATAACACTTACTGAATGCAAAGGATGTATTGAAAATGCAAAAGAAAGAAAGAAAAGAAAACTTTCTTGTGTGGTAATGTGAATTTCCTTGCGGCATGTACCTGACACAAGGCCTCCATAAGAAGGAACTCAGATCTGTGTTAGACTTGCTGGTCAGCAGCACATTTCTTTAAATTACTGATTTTTAAAAACAGTACTGTAACCCAGTAGGAATACAAAAAGGATGGTGTCATATATTCTTCATTATGTTTCAGGATGTCATTCACCACTGCAGTCCAAAATAATGAGCCTAATTTGATTTCAGGTCTTTGCATTTGATGACAGCTGTACTTTAAAAACCAAAGGATGAAAACTTTTTCTTGCTTTGAGACTGTGTCTGTCGTGTGTCTTCAGCCCCACTAGATGGTGCGCATTGTCGGTTTGACTTCTTCAGTTGCGCCACTGCGCTCCAAGGCTCTGAGTTTCACCAAAACTAGGTGATGTACAGTCAGACGGCTGTCAAAACATGCAGGCAGCGATGACTCTGCTATGAGTTATATCCAAACAGAGCTTTGAACACCAGCTTCATAAAGGCATATTCCATTTTCATAACAGCAACAAGTGGAGCCACTGGAGACTGAAGGCTGCTTCTATATAAGGTCTTAAAACAAAGACGCAGCCCGGTTATTGGATGTTTTTATTGCAACAGTTTAATATGACTTTATGAGGGGAAACATCCAACTGTCCAAGCTTGCCGACGTTGTCAATATTCACCAGGATGCACTTCCTTTTACTCGCCGCTGTGTTCCTCTTTACGCACGACCTGGACTCCGTGCGCTCTGACAAATGCGCCTCCCGGTGCGACGTGAGCTCATGTCCGAGCCCCAGCTGCCCCGGCGGGTACGTCCCGGACAGATGTAACTGCTGCCTGGTGTGCTCGCCCCGTGAGGGAGACCCCTGCGGCCGCAAAAACGACCTGCCCTGCGGGGATGGCCTGGAGTGCAAGCTGCTCACCGCGGGGAGGCGGCGGGGCTCCAAAGGCGTCTGCAGGTGTAAGATGGAACTGGAAGTGTGTGGAAGCGACGGGAAAACGTACGGAAATGTGTGTAAAATGAGAGCGGCCAGTGATAAAGCTCAGCACAAGGGGAGACCCGCAGTGAGCCAAGCGCACAAAGGAGCGTGTTCGCCTCCAGGCGCAGGTAGGACTACTGTGGGTCCTCAGATCTGAGGGCTGGAGGGGGAAGAAAATAGAGCTGTGGTGTGTAGAATAAAACATGTTCTGGTTTGACTGGTACTAAAACTGTGGTATTGTACAACATCAAAAGAACTAAATCTGCAACAATAGGTCTTTTTTTTTAATTTTTTATTTTTTTTATTCTGGCATTAGAAAGTCGTTTAGATCATTTTTCAGACAAGAAATAGTTATTTTAAATCCAAATCAAATCATTCTGCTGTACGTAAACAGTAGTACAGGCAAGATGAAAGCGCCTTTCTTCCGGATCCAATAACTTAAAGAAATTTAAATCAAGTGTTTGCATATACTCAAAACGTTCACTTTCGTTGTCTCCTGAAGGGACCACTGCGTCCATTCGAGCCGCCATCCCCATAGCAACTTCAGAACATTTTCAGCTTCTTTAGCTTCATAATTTGCTAAAATTAATTTGAAGGAGTAACAATGAACTCTGGGGATTGTAATAAACAGTTATCACAATGTTCAGGTATGGTATAATGACGTAAAGAAAAAGTCATATTGTCATATAGTTAACCTTCCTCCTGTGTTAGGCTTCCTTATCCATGAAAACATTGGTTTTAATATTTTTGGTGTGGGCCTCTTTTTATGTCAGTATACCCCTCGATTTAAATTTAAAACATGCTAAAATTAACCTCAAGAGAATGATATAGATAAACTAAAGGTTGTTGTGTTCCCTGACTATTACTGAGGGATATTACAACACATCTCTTAAATAAATTTTTTTATTTATTTTTTTTAATTTAATATTTTTAACCATAGTAACATCTATGGTGTTATGGGTCAATTTCGACCCTTATATATTTACTTCAAGAAAAAGGCAAAAAAGTATTTTTTTTTTCAGCAATAGGTGGTAAGTTTCCTCCTGAGAAGTTCTTGTCCAAGGTCATAGCTGATAAAAATTGTCACAAGTGATATTGTGACCCTGCAGTCCAGTAGTCACATTGAGAACCACACGTTTTCCTTGGTTTTTCTCAGGGATGCCACTTGCAGCTTTGCCTGTGTAAATCTGTAGATTCCAGGCATAGCCGGTTTTTGCATCACAGGCTGCCCAGATTTTTATGCCGTACTTTCCTGGCTTACTGGGCATGCATTGCCGGAAGGGGCATTTTCCTCTAAAAGGGACAAGACATTCACCCACTGTCACCTCTGGCCCTGGGTTGAACATGAGAAGAAGAAGCTTCACCCATCTTTCCCAGACATCCCTGATGGGGCCAAGTTTGTCACTTGTTGCTCTGGTATCTCTGACTCTTAATATAGTTTGGAAGGCCTGCAGTGACATTGTAGCCGGGACAATATTTCTGCCTGTCGATGCGTCCCAGAGATGATCAGTGGCTTCATTGCAGGATCTGTGCACTCCAGCAGAAGAACACCAATATAAGCATCCAGGTATTCCTTATCAATGTGTTTCCACATGTCGCCATGGACTTTTTTTCCTTCAAGGTTTGTCATAACAATGATGACTCTTTTAGTGACAATGGCAAAAAATAGCTCAAAACATGTCTTGATGTCACTGACTCTCGTCACAGCAAACCTTGTGATTCCAGAGGTCATTTTGATGACATTTGCAGCAGCTGCCCTGCCATGAACATCATGAGATACTGAGCTCCACAAGATCTCACCATTTTTGGACTTGAATCTTTCAGCAGGAGTAGCTTCACCACTGGTGACCTGCTCATCAGACTCCTCAGATCTGTCTGTGTCTTCTGGACTATACTCCACATTGTCCTCCTCCTCAGACACCTGCTCATCCAGGTCGTTATGCTGGTCTGTGTCCTCTCCCTCATTTTCATCAAAAATATTATCCAGGACTTGGCTCAATGAAAATCTTCTCGTTTTTGCTCTCTGCAAGTTGAAGATGTGCACTCTGCAAGTCACCAACTCTATATTGAATTGATCTCACATGTCTGGACATACCTGTCTTTGTTTTGTTGTTGTGCAGGTATATGGGAAAACAAGGCAAAATCAGAATAAACTAAAGCTCACATGATTGGGAGAGGGCCTGGCTGTCAGTGTGTTGGCTGACAGCACACTTATGATTTCAGTTTTGGCTCTAACTATTGCTTTATAATCTTATTTTTATAACCGGGTCGAAACCGACCCTAATACCACAAACGTAACAATTTCAACTAGAGCATTTTAAAATTTAGTAAAAAAAATTGTTTTTTTGTTTTATTTTGTTGAAATAGAGGTTCCTGACAAAGTCAAGAAGCGTCAATGAAATGAACAAATTTCTGTGGTTCTTTCATACACTTAACACTTAAAAACGGGTCGCTGGTGATCCTAACACAGGAGGAGGGTTAATGTGGAAATTGCTTTAGATTTTAGACTTTTCCAGAGTCACTGTAGGAGCAGGGCACTGAACATTGTCAGGGACTCCTCACACCCTCTCCATTCACTGTTTGAACTGCTACCATCAGGCAAACATTTCTGGAACATTAAAGGAAGAACCTCCACAATGATCAACAGCTTCATGCCACAAGCTGTCAGAATGCCGAACTGCTGATCCAGATATGCAAACGCTTCTTTATTTAAATTGCTTTAAGTTATTGGATCCTGAAGAAACACTCTGTCATCTTGCCTGTACTACTGTGTATGTATAGCAAAATGACAATACACTTGATTTGATTTAATTTTGATTTTTAGCTGGAGAATACCAGAAACTTTATGTCTGCAGTGCCAGAATATGAAGTATGACTGATGGATGGATGGAAGGCTTTCCAAACAACTTTACACTTTTATAAAAATGTTTACCACTTAACATCCAGTTTTTGCCTTTTATTTCAGTTAAACAAACTATATTTCTGATGAGCCAGTGCTGTTCTTTCTCCTAAGTGGCAAAAAAAGAGAAACAAGAGATCCAAGTATACATTTATTACACTAATAACATTTAAAATTTTTGGAGTATTTTGGATCTCGATTAGGACTGAAAATAAATCTTTGTAGGATTTAGCAACACTTGGAGACATATCGTGTGTGTAATGATTGATCCACTTTTGCTTTGGTGATGTTTTAAGAGGTTAAAGGACTCGTACATGTTCGAAACAGATTTATTCCTACAGTCATGACTGAAAGTGCTGCAGTGTTTGCATTAATGCAGTGGGTTCTTCATGTCATTACAGGTCCTTCTCTGGTCCGTATCAGCAGCCCTCGCTACAAGTTCAACTTCATTGCTGACGTAGTGGAGAAGATAGCACCTGCTGTCGTCCACATCGAGCTGTTTGTCAGGTGAAGAGAGGAACTCCTTTAAACTTTATTTTCCCATCGTATTCTTTTTTTTTTTTTTAAAGGTGCAATTAACGAATTAAGAATGAAACAGAGAAGTTTGGCCCTTTTCATAAAGTCAAATACTGTAGATTTGATGTCATTATTGTAGGCTAATCTCAAGAAAATCTCAACCAACCTGCTGCTTTGTCTTCTCTATTATTATCAACTGTATAAAATGATGGTTAAGAATCCAAACCTGTCCAGCAGCATGGTTTTAGGGAGTTTAAGTCTTCACATTTACTTTCCTACCACACAGGACCACCAGAATGTGAAACAGCTCCTAGAAAAATATACATTTTGACTATTTTTGCCTCTAAGTCAGCCGTTGTCTTCTTTGTTCTTTCCAGACATCCTCTGTTTGGTCGCCATGTGCGTCTCTCCAGCGGCTCCGGTTTCATTGTGAGCCACTCGGGTGTGATTGTGACCAACGCTCATGTGGTGACCACAACTTCCGCGGTGATGGGGAGGCCTCAGCTGCGTGTTCAGCTGCACGACGGCGACGCGTATGAGGCCGTAGTCAGAGATTTAGACAAGAAGGCCGACATCGCCACCATCAAGGTCAATCCACAGGTGAGAGGGATTCTTCACCTTTGTCTCTTTCTCTGGTATTAAGAAGCAGTTTAATACTCTGCTTCCATTAATCTTAAGCGAGCCACATCCTGCCAAGATTTAACAGTTTCCTGCGAGACACTTACAAGGCGAGCAGGAATACTTTGATAAACACCAGCTCTGTGACTCACAGACGCAGCACTGATGTGTGTATTCTCACACCCATATCTCAAATACTTGGACAGTTTTGTAAGCTTTAAACTCTCCCTCCCTCGTCCTGTCTCCTCCAAATGTATTTTCCCCCAGTTATTCTGTGTAGCTTTCTCTTGGTATCTGACTGATATGCCCGTGTTTCCTCCTGTGTGTTGATATTTTTTCCATACGGGAGCAGAAGAAGCTCCATGTGCTGTCTCTGGGCCGTTCGGCTGGTCTGAGGCCGGGGGAGTTCGTGGTCGCCATTGGCAGCCCCTTCGCTCTGCAGAACACCGTCACCACCGGCATTGTCAGCACGACGCAAAGAGATGGCAAGGAGCTGGGCATCAAGGACTCGGACATGGACTACATCCAGACTGATGCTATTATCAATGTGAACACTCAAACATGCAATATATTCATACATGTGTCTGTATACACACCAATTGCATTACTTTCTTGTAATATTTTTGCCTGTGCATGTGGATTTTGGTCATTTGCACAAGTGTTAATTTCATTTTTGCTATTTTGTATTTCATATCTTTCATATTTGCGAGAAGTATGGCAATTCAGGAGGACCTCTTGTTAACTTGGTAAGTGCTGTTATGTTCAAAAATGCTTCACCAAAACAAAGAACTTGGCTTTACTCAGATGCAGGGCTCTTTGTAAAACATTTAGGGCTGTAACAGACCACTGGTACCTGCCTGTCTGTTTATTTTACCTGTTAGTGACTGCTGATAGACACAGAAATACTTTCCCTCTTAAGGAAAAAATCTGCAAAAATGGTTCGATCGTCTTTTTTTGTGGTCCACTCCACACCAAAGCCATGTTCATAACAGCCACTCCAGCTCTCTAATTCTCTCACCTACTGTGTGTATTATGCCTAAAAAGTGGCTTTCAACCACAAAATAATTACAAGGCCCCAGAAATCTCACATTTCCAGGATGCAGAGAACGCTCAAATTGTCATGCGAGTCTGAAATATCATATTATTCCCAAGAACACAGAGGAAGCTAATAGAGAGTAAAGATATTATTGGTTTATATTTTAAACCAATGTATAAATTCTGCTTTTGTTTGTGTGTATTGCAACACATTAAAAACAATTAAATATACAGCATTTCCTTTAGAAATGTCCTACCTGCGGGTTAAGAATCTCAGAAGTTGAAAAAAAAAAAAACACACAGAATCCATCAGCAGGTTTATACAATTGGACTTTTATGTGGAAAATACATAAAACGTAACATTACTGCCATTCTGCTGCTCCTGTTATTATTATTACCACTACTGCAGTCCATTTGTGACTAATAATAGTTACAAAAACATTAATAAGAAAATAATCATTGAAAACAAACCCTTGCTGACAAGTCTGTGTAGTGATACACACAGCTACATTTGTAAGATTGTAAACCTGTGCGTGTTTAAACAGCCCACATGCAGTTTTCTAAACTGTGGATAATTTTAGTGGCATTTCTTTTAAATGATGCTCTATGCTCTATGCTCTAAATACTACCTGACACAATGTTTTCTGGAAATTCTGCCACATTTCTTATTGACTTTTATTTGAATCAGCACGTGACCCTCTTTGGCAGCCATTGTTTGATATTGGATAATTGGAATAGTTCCTTTGATTTCACGTGCCTTGTGTGATAGTGCCTGTGTTTCTTTCAGGATGGGGAGGTTATCGGCATCAACACTCTCAAAGTGACAGCTGGGATCTCCTTCGCTATCCCCTCAGACAGGATCCGCCGCTTCCTCACAGAGTCAAAGACCAAACACAGCAAAGGTGCTACATTTGTTTTGCATTTTTTGGCCAAAGTATCTTATCCTAACACTTAATTAGCTCTTGAAAAGCATTTGTTGCTCAGTATTGGTGACTAATTCTACATTCTGGGTGTTGTTGTGACAGAAAAGACAAGACTGCAGAGAAGACTTACAGAGGAACCACAATCTGATGCAGGTCAGAGCTTCTGACACACCAGCAGTGACTCAAACTTAAATCTTGTGACTGTTTACACATGTGAGGTGCTGTGCAGACCTAATGAAATCTGATGATATAGTTTTGTGTTGTTTACAGAAGTGTCAGAAGTAAAGAGATATTTTTTAGGCATCAGGATGATCACCATCACCAAAGCGTGAGTAGTAACATTCACATACATTGAATAAATACACAGCCTGAGCATTTTAGCATTTAGTTAAATGAGGATTAACTTGTTAGCAAATGCTATCAGTGTAATGTATATTAAAATTACTATTTTTGTGCTTTGTGTATGCCTCAGTCTAGTAGCAGGGCTGAAACATCAGAACCCAGACTTTCCTGATGTCAGCAGTGGGGTTTTGGTGCAGCAGGTCATACCTAACACTCCAGCAGAAAAGTATGCTCACACACATGTGGCAAAACCCAAGTACACACACACACACACACACACACACGAATAAAGAAATCTTGCTCATGCCCAGATCACATTTACTCAAAGTACCAAAGCAACGCCAGAAATTGAAATGAAATGAAAGGAAAAATACTTTATTTATCCCAGAGGGGAAATTCAATTGGTGCTACTTCAAATGATTTTGGCTCTTTATGTGGTTCCGTAATGGAATTTAACCTTTTGAAAATCCAAAACCTGCTGTCTGGTTTGCAAGACGTCTAAGTTTGGAAAAAAATAGCCAAAATTACATCACCTGTAAAAACAGCAAGATCTGTCAGATTTTCAACATTCTAACGGTCTTCAACCTGCTCGTCTGTACAGTTCAATCAGGAAAATGATCCGAATCTAAGCTTTGAAAATGCAATATCTTATCAAATTCAATATATCACACATGTCTCGTGTTAAAAAAAAAAAGAAAAAAAAAAAGAAAAAAGCCAAAGACAAACAGTTTGCACCAATGAGATGTTGTAAAAGAATAAAATAGATATAAAAATAATACATCTGCACTCCTTGGTGCAACAGAGAAACTATTAGTGACTCAGCTGTGAGCAAAAGTGACATTCCAAAAATAAAGGGAGCTTTTAGTTGAACTGGGTTAAACTGCAGTGTGTTTACACAGAGCAGATAGGAGGCAAATGTTTAAATAAAATAAAAATGTCAGTAGTGAAATGTGTATATAATGTGTATAGTCATAATTTGTCCCAGAATTGGTAGTAAGATGTTGTAAATGTGGATTCCAGACTTTAGTGCTTCAGACACCCTTATAGCAAATTACTGACTAGTTTCTTTTGTTTTCTGTGCACTAGGGGAGGGATTAAGGAAGGGGATGTTATAGTGAAGCTGAACGCACAGCCAGTCAACACCACCGATGACATCCGTGTGGTGGTGCAGAGCAACAAGCCAATCCTGCTTGAGATTCGCAGAGGGAACGACGACATGCTGTTCAACATCCAGCCTCAGCTTGTAGCGCATTAAAGAACAGCTTCAAGGGTGAACAAAACTTGGATGGGACTGAGTAGAGGCCATAAACAATGTACTGCAAGGAATTAAGAATAAGCTACGTGTGGAAATTAGAAGTGATGTTTTATGATTTCAGTTCTGATTTTTGATAAAAACAAGAAAAAAAAGTGCATTTTCTTTTAACTTGTACCATTTTTTTTCTGAATTTTGCAAATTTTGCAAATCATTTTTTTCCTATCATATAGTCTTTGTTTGAGAAATACAGTTGTTTATTGCGATGCTCAAACAACGTATGAGTAGAATCTACTGCACTGACACTGAAAGAGCTTCAGAATAAAAGCTTCCAAAGAAGGATCTGTGCGGTGGTGTGTGTTTATCTGTCTAGTCTATTCAGCAGCTGCTGTCCAGAAGGCAGGTTCCACATCTCTGTTTATGTCTTCTCTTCCCTCCTCCTTCCTCTCTGTCTTGGAAAGATGTTCTGCTAATTTAAACAAACCCAAACCAACACCGAGTTGCACAGAGTACACACACACACACACACACATCCACACAATGAGCAAAAATCCTGTGAGTGGAGGAGCCACTTTCATCCTCTCCTGTTTTGGTAATGGAAATTCTCCAGTGTAACGTTATCTGAAACTTGAGGTTACACACTCTGGCTTTAAGACTCAAAACTCTCACAGGACTGTTTTGGTTGTTGGTGTTTTATATCATTTAAATGTAGTCTGAAACTGCTTAGAACATTTATCTCGGTCACATTTGTTTCAGTGGAAGTATGCACTTAAATTTGACCTTAAAGTGGCGGTGGCTTGGCTTTTTAGACAATGTTACTCATTGTTTTTGCCCATGCACATCTCCTCAAATCATAAAATTACCTCATAAATGACCTGATTGACCCCACATGAAGTGTGCCTGTGGGTGCACAGCTCATAAACCGAACTCAGACAGACAATCCTTACCAACCTCCTGCTTGTTTAAACACAGACTTTGCCATGGTACTGTTGGCTGGAGCAATGACAGAACCAAAAACACAAGGAACAAAAGGGAAAAGGGAAACTGATGGGACCACAATCAGGGTGAAAAAAGGGGGGCGAATGGGAAATAAGCGACTCCCATTGTGGGCTGCAGGAACCTACCTTTAACATACTGTGTGTTGCTGACCCAGTTTTTGTGGATTTTCTAGTGTAGCCAAGACATATTGTCATAGCAGAGCACCAGACTCTCCTCACAGCTGTTTATTCTCATCAAGACCAAACTCCACATTAAGACAGCCGGCTCATGACAAATATAAACCTGTCAGTCGCCTACAAAGATGACCTGTTTTATAATAACATTACAAACATATCTGCTGCTAATGCATCTGTGTCAAGTGCAGCTTATACCTCACTTTTCCCATATGTCCCTTATGTTTACACTGTGGATGACTTCTGCTCCTGCACAAGTCATAAATCAGTAAATGTATCGCCACCTAGAGACCAAATGCTGTTCAGTGCAAAACAAATGCATCATATGATTCCCAAACAGGCCACTAGATGGCGTGTTGGGAGTAAAAATTTGCTCCTGACGTGGCAGCTGCTCAGATGCTCAGACTATAGGAGCCATGTGAGGTATAGCTTCTGAAGCAGACTATATTTAGCTCTGGTTTCTGAGTGAATTATTTGAAAGCTAAAGTAGAAGGCACAGTTTAACAACTCAAACTGCATGTAGGACTAAATGTAGACTCTTGGCCTCATGTCAACCCTGTCTCTGTTGCTTTAAACAGAAAGAGCATTTTACCAACTGTAAGGCCTCCTACAAATCTGAGTTTTCCTCCATCCAGTCTGAGGATTTCTGTGCTGCATGGATCTTTAGGCTGCCCACTGGATAGATTATAATAATTATACTGCTTTGAGCCAGATGTTCTCAAAACCTTGTAGCAACACACTTGTATTCAGTGCTGGAGTGCTCTCTACTGACCTTATTCACCAAACCGAGAGGTTCGAGGGATGGTTTGGTTTCTTTGAAGTGAGGTTGTATGAGGTACTTATCCATAATCACGGTATTACCGACAGTCGGCACACTCCCAGTTTGGAGAAGCAGACATGAGGACCAGTGTGGAAGATAAGCAGGATGCTGCTATGGATGAAGTCGCAGCAAAACATATTTTAGCCCAGATATTGAATCTATATTGGTTTTCAGCAATACTAAGATATTTTCACACTTTACCTTGCCGTCAGACAGTCTTTACCAATGTGGAACTGATGCATTTTTATCTTCAAAGGCACCAGACTCCACTGACAAACGCAGTCATTTTCACCTCACAGCCCGTTATTGTGTAACTCTGGTGTTTTAACACATTAGTTTGGATCTCAATAAGTTTTAAAATCAGCTTTACTTGCAAAATATTTAAATTCATACAAGCAATTTGTCTGTTTTCTTCTTTTCTCTTAAAGTACTTGTACCATAAATACATGCATTTAAAAAAAAAAAAAAAGGCAACATGTTAAAGAAGCAAAATAAGTGTTTGTAAAGAAGCATGATTAAAAGTGAACTAAAACTTTTATGCAAATTATGCAGATTCTGTTAATACAGCAGTAGATAGATAGTTATTAACAATAAATACATGTTTTATTGATGCTTTTTTCCCATGAGGTAGGTAGGCGATAGTGCAAAGGAGGAGATAGAAACATTGTTGGAATGAAAATATTAACAGATTAGATTAGATAGAACTTTATTGATCCCTTCAGTAGGGTACCTCAGGGAAATTGTTGAGGTATGTACAGGTATGTACGCAGTGATTCAGAGTTAGAGATTGAGGATTTGCTTTTGAAGCTGTTGTTCAGTGTTACAGGTTTACGACTCAAGGGTTGTTCCTGTCATTACAGACTGACTGAATTATTCATCGGAGTAATGGCCTGATGGGAAGAAACTGGTTTTGCGGCTTGTTGTTTTGGCACTCACATGTTAAAATGTGCTAAAATGCCGAAGTCATTTAAATAAACAAATAAGTTGATGGAGGCAGTGCAGACCATCAATTTAGTATCATGAATAATACTTCATTATCATGTGTAACACTTCAATTTCCTGAGCAATGGGTCATTATCATGTATGATACCATTCACTACCTCAGTATCATTGTCAACATTACTTCTTACTTTTAGATCCTAGTCTTATTTTAGCCTACTTGTGTTTTTTTTTTTTTGTCAGTGATGTTTTGTACTTATCTACGAGGCACTGCATTTCTCATGTCATCTTGTTTTTTCTGAGCAATGTCTAGCTAAAAGAATTTCCTTTGGGATCAATAAAGTTTTATGCTATCTTTTACTGTTTTCCACAAGATAAAATGACTATTTTTGTCAACAAAGTCTGGTAGCTCGAAGAGAGAATAGAACCATATAAAAGCTTCAGTTTCCCAACAGAGAAGGTTATCCAAGGCCAACATAAAGAAGTGAAAATATTCTTGAAATGGAGTGCACTTAAACTTTGTTACATTTTTTTTAGCTGGGCCTTTTTTTTTTTTTAGGTAGATAAAGTACATATTGCTGCTGACCCGTCCACAGCAGTTCACTGCTTGCTGCTCCTCCAACCTGGAGGCTTTTCAGTCATCATCTATAGTTTATCTAACATACTGACTGTGGAGAAGAACCTCAAACAACCCCACTTTAAAGAAAACCAAACTATCCCTTTAAACAACAGTATATTTTTAGATTAAATGAAGCAGAACTTTCTGATATTGTTAGAGATTTAAGTACGAAAATATTCTTATCATGGCTGGTTAGAGTTTTCTTGAATTTTTTACAGTTTTATGCTATATTGGCTTGTTTTACACCTGCATCTTCCTGTATTTGCTGACTGACAGTCACTTCTAGAGCTGTTTTTGCTGACTGACAGTCACTTCTAGAGCTGTTTTTGGCTAGAAGGAAGATCTATCTGTTTGAGCTGGTATGTACTAATCTATATCAAAAAATTAAAAGCCTTGAGAGCCTATTTTCTCAGTCAGCATTTTCCTCGAAATGCTGAAATTGTGCATGAACACACTCAACAGTTTTGGTGAGTTTTTGCTCGTACTTTACTATGCAAGTATCAACCAAATTTCTGAACCTGATTTTGTAGTATCATACTGTCAATCTAATCTGAGTTTCTTAGTGACAAACTCAGAAAAATAATAACCTTGGACTGTTTTGTTTTGTTTTTATCCCCAAACTTTAACTGTTTCACTATTTGTAATGTATATTTAATGTTATGGAGAAACAGTAATTATTTCAGTGATTTTACAGGCACAAATGTTCCACCTGACCTTTAAGCCTCCCTGTTTTTCATATCCATTTCTCATATCGCCGCCTCCTTTTCCCTTCCTTTGATTGGTTCTGCACAAGTGTTTCACTGAACCCTCCCCACGCTTTTGTCCCCATCTGTCGGCGCTCAGTATCCGGCTAGAGTCCGTCCTGGGTAAAAGACCAAGAGACCTTAGAACTCTGGGAGAGGCAGCCAGGAGGAATAATAGACCCTTAGCTCGGTGACACATTCACAAAAACACAACGATGATGCTCGTGATGCTGTGTGAGGAAGCAATAAAGACTAGCAGACATTTATAACTGGGTGCAGGTTTAATAACCCCACATAATGCCAAACTGTGAGTCATCAGTGACCTGAGAACCTGATGGCATTTTGAGCGCCATCAGTGGTGCTTAATGGAAGCTAATCAGCATCATCGCTCCGAAAACAAACACGGCACACATGCGTAGTATGTGTCACTCAGATTAACCTGGGATGGAAGTATCTGCAATATTGAATTGGTATTTTCTAACAATAAAAGTGTGAATGGGTTCTAATGTGGTCAAGGGCAGCATAAGAATGGGAATGTCCCTAAAAAATGCTAAAATAACCAAATGAGGCTTTAAGTGAATGTTTGGCGAGATATGTTTAGAGTAAAGTTATGAGTAAAAGGGAACTTTAAGGGTACAAAGTACAGATTGGAACTATAGACAGCTTGGACTCAACAATAAAAAAAAAAAGAATGTTGAACTGTGGCGTTACAGTAGTATAGGCCCTAACTACTTCCATCTGTCTCGGATCTGACTCTCACTGTGTGACTCACTGGTGTACCGATCAGAAGTACCGAGGGCAACTTGGTGTAAGAAGAGAAGGGGACAAAGCGAGCAGACCTTTGTAGACAAAATCATTAAGTCTTTCAACCCACCTCCCACACGTACCCTCACACTGCCCCAGCGAAGAGTAAAACAGAGCTTAAGGCCACATCTCTCAAACAGTGAGCCTCCACAACTGGACAATTAGTCTTAGAAAAAAACAGCTAAGTACATCCATGTGTTGTTGTGCAGAGTATTTTGGCTGAAATCTGCACCCGGCTTCCTC